GACATACTCGTTGTGAGGCGTGTCGCAGCACGGCCTTCGTAATATGTAGAAATAGAAATAGAATCAATTTTATTCACAAAACTAATTAGAAATAGCTTGGTAGCGTCATTCCCAAGGGCTATTATCCATAAATCCTATGATATTATAAATCACTCTTTACACATATACCTAAAACCATATATAATAATTGCGGAGGTAAAATTTTGTATAGTTTATGGGATTTATTGTAAAAACGTATAAATCGCCGAAAGAATAAACTATTCGGTGGGGTTGAGTAACTGGTACTATTAGCTTGTGTCTGTTCCTAGTATTTACAGCATGAATTGTACTTAATTCTTTTAAAAGTACTTTTATTTTTCCTTCGATCAACAATACCGAAGTATTTTTCTGTACATACATTTCACTACATGTTGTGTTGCGACGTCAGAACACGCATTTCCACAGGACATGTTGCCCATGCGAAAAAAATTCTGTTGAGCGACCCTGCCGCCAGCGCAATGCACCGTTGCACCGTGTGGCTTCCATCTTAACGTTCATGCAAATGCTACGGATGGAAATATACTTATGCGAAGCCTTTTCACTATCGCCTGCTGACTTGAGTCACAGCGATCGCAAGTCTAAGAAATTCTAATCCTTTGGAATGCGCATAAGGAAAGAGGAAAGAAACCTTTCACATAAATAATATGTTGACAGTAAACATCATTAGAATGTATTGAATGTGCTAGTTCTACACGATACTAGGGTATTTCGTAGGATTTACATATGATATATAGAATAAGCTGTCCCGTTCTCGATTTTTACAAGACTTCAGAAATGGTGGAGGATTTTACGTGGCAGAGCCATGCTGTAGATGTAGATAGACTCTTTTTACTGGAAACAAGGCGTTCCATCTTAGATCTCAGAGGTGACAACGCATCTGCAGTTTAATTCTTAATCGAGGAAAGATGTGTCTATAGACAGCTTCCACTTACCATCAGGTGGACTGTGTGTTCGTTTGTCAGACCTATTCTATAATATATGTACATATAAAATATAATTGCTGTCCGTTAGTCTAGCTTAACCTCAAAAATGGCTCGACTGATTTTGATTAAATTTTTTGTGTGCTTAAGTGTGAATCTAAACTATCCAGGTACCACCTGGATGGTTTAGATTTATGATTGGACCCGGTAGGCGGCGCTGTTGTCGAGATCCAGAAATCACCCGTGCGAAGCCGGGGCGAATATCTAGTAAATGAATAAATTAATGAGTACTAATTTTATTCTGTTGGAAGAGATTCAAAATTTCTAATTGACTTCAGACTTCTAGTACAGTCAAAGACATTTAAATTTAAGTATGTAGTGGTAATAGACCGGACATCAGCAAAAAAAATTGTCGTCTGTAACTTTTGTCCTATAGCATATATCTCCGATTTTTGTCATTTAGTCAAAGTGACATCACCGAAAGGTCAAGACGCATTCGGACATTTAAGTATGTAGTAGTAATAGACCGGACATCAGCAAAAAAAATTGTCGTCTGTAACTTTTGTCCTATAGGATATATCTCCGATTTTTGTCATTTAGTCTAAGTGACATCACCGAAAGGTCAAGACGCATTCGTTTCTACATTTAAAAAGAAAATATGCCCGGTTGCGCATTAAGGTATAGTAAGTCAAGATATCGAGCAAAAAGTGAACATGATTTCAGTTTATTGTCCCAAGAATAATGTATAATAATGTATTTACCAAATAATCTTTAAATTTTATATTTTCTTTTAGATTGTTCTAGAAGAAAGAAAAAATATTGTAATAAGTGCCCTCTGTTATCCAGTATCGTCACTATTTATTTACAAATATGTTAGTAATTGACGACGTGCCTAAAACCGATTTCCATCGTAAATTTAGAAGCGTCACCTAATGAGAAATATCAAAAAAAAAAAAAAAAAATATATATATATACTTAAATCTCTTTGAGTACAGTCAATATTCTTCTATACAATATGTCTTAGCGCCGAATTGTCGACTTTGGGTACCATGCCGTTTTAATTATAATATAATAAAGTAAAAAAGGAAAGTTACAGCCTATGTACGTCCCGCTCCTGGGCACAGGCCTCCTCTCACTTCTGAGAGGGTTTTAGGCCAAGAAAGTGTCCGACGGACTTTACGTGTTTACGAAAAAATTTTTTCTCAGACATACGGATTTCCTTTGTAGATTTCGTTAACTTCTGAGCACGTGGTAAATCAGCACTTAATAATCGCAATTAACAATTTCATTAGTGCCGACGGGGATTGAACCCGATTTGTTGAACTGCCACGGCTCTCGGCTATAATAAAATAAAATATAATTGGTGTGATAGTGTGATTGTTTAACTCAATAGTCAGTTCTCATAGTAGTTCAGCTGGTCGTTTGTTATAGTATCTGTAGCGTGCCGTAGTAGAGTGGGTCGTTAACACCGCCCACTTGACCTTGTTCGTGTATTGCTACTGCGTATTTGGCCGGCGGCGCATGTTTACTGCAAACAGCTACTCTATTGCCACGGAGACGTGTTTCTTCTAATTATACCTCCGTAGACCGCGGAAAAGGCGTAGAAATAGTGGGACTTTACGCGACTCTTCCAGTTTACCTCTAGCTCAAACAGGAAAATATAGTATCTCGAATTATTTACCGTCTTGTAACTTATTTTCTTTTGAAACGTTCCAACACCCAAAACTAGGATTGTCTCCTATATCGCGGATGCTTTTTACTTACCAGATTCGCAAACATCCAGACCCAGAACGTTTATTTGTAGACTTCAATCAACAATACCAACGTGACTCGTTATCTACTTGGTATTGTTGATCGAAGTTTGTAGGCCACATAAACTCTTCTTCCTTGCGGAATTCAAATTTTGAAGCGCGAGTCGCAGGTGCTGCGCTACAGAAGTCGCAGGTGTTACGGTTACCAAATTTAATCATCGGACACACCAAAAATACTCAAAAATACTCTTTTTTTTAAATAAAATACGAAAAACAAACAAAACAATACAGTATATTTCAATTTTTTGAAAGGTGTTTCAAATTAATATTTTATTTTGACATCATATTAAGTAATCAGATCCTTACACAATATTACTATATATTGTGTAAATTTTTATACTAACTGAGATAGCGATAGTGAGTCTAATTTTAAGTACCTATTAACTTAGCAAATAAAAACATAAATAAATAATATGCACTTTATTACTAATTCCAAATTTTAAAGTAAAGGGAACAAATGCGTCAGGACGGCATTATGATGGACTCTTCCTCGCCCCAAGAAGTATGAGAATGCCTACAATGATATCCTTTTTATATATACATTTCTTTGAATAATAGATGCCTAATAGATAGCTGACGATATTTGATTTACCACACAATTTTCTTTCTCAAAAACAGTATAATGTAGCCTAGTCACTCCTGGCATTGTCTATCTTTCTCAGTTTCATTACAATTGGTTCAGCCATACCGAAGCTTAGCCTGGACAGGCTGACAGAAAAAGATAAATAAAACTTTTTAAAATGATCATTTATGTCTTAGTGTGCCAACCCACTTTCACACATCAATTTTATTTATACAGTGCATTGACTTATATGTACTACGTACTAGAGAAGTTATTCCGAACAAAAAATGTGCCCTACTCTGTATCCGCGTATGCGCGGGAAACTGTAGAGTCGCGCAGTTGATATAAACGCGCGAAAATTGTCATAATAAATAATTGTTTATTTAGATTGTATTGTTAATCGCGTACATTTTATTTTTATTTTCGTTTACTTTGCATATGTGCTAATTTAATACAAAATTATTATTATGATTATGAATATCGAAGCCACAATAACAGGTGTACGGTTTGCAGTGCAGTTCAGTTGAACATAGTGAGTGTTCGGAATGCCATATCTAGTGCGTAGGTACATTATTTATTACATATATATCGATGATACAGTGGGTTAATTTCCAAAAAGTAGCCAAATTTTAAACAAAGTTCAAATATATGAATAATGATATACCGTGGAGTGGCGGTGTAACAATATCCACTACCCCATGTCGTCCCGTGGGTGTCATGAGAGGCGACAGAGGGAAACTAATCAGGAGATGGGCTGCCGCGTCTTCCTAATAATGACTAAAAAATACGGTTGCCAACCCGCTTGCCAAGCGTGGCAACTATAGCAAATATCCCCCCTATGAGGCAATCTATGGGGGAGGCCTATGTTCAGCAGTAGACTTTTATAGGCTGTGATGATGATGACGATGATACCGTTATTAAAGTTTTTGAAAATACGAGTAAATAAAGCTTCCACTTTTATTTGAAATTATCCCAAATTAAATGTGATTTATAAGTAAGTGAGCAGTAAAATCAGTTAAAAAAGCGTTTTGAAATTAAAAGATACAAGGAGACAAGGAGAGTATATTTGAGATTTTTTCTCATAATTTGCCTATATTATTTATTCTGATCTATACCTTCTCTGCAAAATTGGCAGGTTATTGCAAATAACCCTGTATGTATAGACATATAGATAATTGTTTCGCCCACTATATTTCTTTTATAGAATGTGGGTGACAAACGAGCACACAGTTCACCTGATGGTAAGTGGATGCTGTGGCCCATAGACATCTACATTCATCTTCAATTAAAAATCAAAATGCAGGTGCGTTGTCACCGCTGAGGACTGAGATGGAATGCTTCCTTTCCAGTAAAAAGGGTCTCCGGTTCTCTACACTCACCATACGAAACACAGCAGCATCAAGCATTTTACGCTGGTATTCTGTGAGAGCGTGGTCCTACACAGGTCGAGTCGACCCATTGGTGCTGCAACCACAATACAGCTGCAGCATGGCTCTACGACGTAAAATTATATCTTTTACAAATAAAGTTTTTAAGATGTATTAGGATAATACGACCTCTGATATAGTAAGATACTATGATTTGTACGGCTTGGGAACCTTTATTGCGATCGAGTTATCGTCAAACTTGGTCTCTTCACCAACTGAGGCTGACAATTCTCTATTCCAGGTCATGGCAAAACCCACAAGGACGCGGCGAGCGTGCGCGCGACGCACCCGATCCCGGCGGCTTGCGGCCTCTACTACTTCGAAGTGCGCATCGTTTCCAAGGGCAGGGACGGTTACATGGGCATCGGGCTGTCTGCGCACGGAGTTAACATGAATCGACTGCCCGGTGAGTGAAACAGCAGAAGATGGCTTATAAACTATATAATACTATGTGGCGGCGCTGTCGTAGCGCCACAAGCGAAAACACACCGAAGCCTAAATCGCGCTATCAAAGTTCCGAATCATAAAACTATATATAGAACAGCTCTGAACTATCATACGGAGTGTTGGCCGCTCCCCGGGCGCAACACTTTGCACGGCGGAAGATCTCCCCTTTTGCTTCCACGGCCACATATTTATTTAGCTGGTATAGCTAAATAAATGTTTCAGATTTTTTAAAGAGATCTGGCTGTTGTATCAATAGTATTGCGTTGTAAATTTGACCGCCTTGTTGGTTTCTGATCATGAAGACCTCTCAGGTTCGAATCCCGGATCTGTTCGGAAATCAGTTACCGGGTTTTTCTGTCAAGAGATTCTCAGTAGCAGTCCGGAGATAGAAAGTTGGTGTTTTACTTCCGTGCCTCGGATAGCATATAGCCGAAGATTCCGCGCCTGATCTGTCCTCGGTCGTGCCGGATTGTTATCTCATCGGACAATGAAAGTGAGGGAATAGAGAGTGCACGTGTGCTTTTGCGCATACTCTCGTGCACTATAATCCTGTTCTGCGCAAATGGTTAGTCTCCGTTGGGGCTGTAGCCTATCATGGTTGCAGCATGGTTGGGTCGGCTCGATTGGGGAAAGGCGACGCTTTCACAGAATACCAACCTGTAAAATAGCACCTTAATGCTGCCGTGTTCCGTATGGACAGTGTAGAGAACTGGAGACCTTTTTACTGGAAACAATGCTGACAACGCATCTACATTTTGATTCTTGATTGGAAATGTGTATGTGTATGTGCCGCAGCATCCACTTACCGGACTTAGGTGGACTGTGTGCTCGTTTGTCACCGTTATTCTATAAAAAAATTGCAGGTTGGGACAAACACTCTTACGGCTACCACGGCGACGACGGTCACTCGTTCTGCTCGTCGGGCACGGGGCAGCCGTACGGACCCACCTTCACCACCGGCGACGTGATCGGATGCGGCGTCAACCTCGTAGACAACACATGCTTTTACACGAAGAACGGTCACCATCTCGGCATCGCGTTTAGAGGACTACCGGTGAGTGTGACCGGTGAATGACAAGCAGCTATGATTGTGCAGTTGCCGTTGTATTGTTAAATACTCATTTAGAATGAATTATTTGTGTAACGTTATATTTTGTTTGTATGACTTTTTATTTTATTTTTGGCATATATTAATCTTATTAACTTGTTTAGAAAGTGTTAGTATAGTACTAAAAATGTTCGTTAGATTACTTATTTTAATTTTACTTAAGTTTATTATTATATTTTTTCATGTTTACGACACAACACATATTTTTTAAGTGAGAAAGAAATAAATCACCTATATACATAAGACACTTTTTAAAATTTGAATAAATAATAAGAAACTGTACCCTAAAATATGCAGGCTGTCATGGCATATCTATATCAATACAAATAAATAAAATTGGAATGTCTGTATTGTCAAAATAACAGCTTTTTACTAAATGCGTATGAAAGTATATACGGTACTTATATCAAAAAAATCATTTTTTTTAATTTTGTTTGTTCTAGCTAATCTCCGAAACGATTGGACCGATTTTGACGCGACATTCACTGGTGCATAGCTGATGTTATAAGGAGTAACATAAGTTACTTTTATTTCAGAAAAAGTGTTCCGCGCAAAAAACAAAGCCCATGAAATTCAATCATAATGAATTCGACGCGTGCGAAGTCACTTAGAGCAGCTAGTATATATGTGAATATAATAGCTATATATATGAATAAAATATATTTTGTACGTGGTAGAGCCACGCTGCAATTATATTAGTATTATAGTTGTAGCACAAATGAGTCGGCTCAACCATGGAAGGACCACGCTCTCACAGAATACCAGCGTGAAATGGTAGCCAAATCTACTTTCATGGTGACTGCCGGAGACCCTTTTTACGGCATCCATCTTAGTCCTCACGGGACAACCATAAGATTCTAATCATAAATATGCTCCCCCCCATGTGGGGTCATTCCTTAATACTGAAATAAATATTCAAGGGGTTATTTGCATGCTATTAAGACATAATTAACAAATTTTTTTAATTAGTCTGTATGTTCGGGTTAATATTCAGTATGGCTGAACCGATAGTGATGATACTTTACAAACAGAGGGAGAGACAATGCCTGAAAGCTGTATTTTGGGAATGAGGTGGTCGCTTCCAAGCTGTTACTAAAATAAAATTTGTAAATATTTTGTAAGCATTGACATTGTGAAATTTATTTTAAAAAAGGTCCCGCTGGGTTTCTTGCTGGTTCTTCCCAGGACAAATGTTTCTTTCGAAGCAGTGGTAAACTAAAAAATGACATTCAATAATAATTACACGTAATCTAAATTGTATAAAACATTATTCTGTTTTATTCTATCCGAAGAATTTGAATTTAAAAAAAATCGAAAAATTAATAACATGAATTATCTTAACAGATTTAAGATAATAACGCCATCTTAATAGATCTTATCCGGGCGAATCGGGGGCGAAACGTTAGCCCCCCCCTATCTAATCTGTGGGAGGGGTATATGTTCAGCAATGGACTTTAACACTCTGTAACTGTAACGGTTATTTATTTCTTTATCTTGTGTGAATGTGTCTTGACCCGGCAGCCGAACCTGTACCCGACGGTGGGGCTGCAAACGCCTGGGGAGGTGGTGGATGCGAACTTCGGGCAGGCGCCGTTCGTTTTCGACGTGGAGGACATGCTGCGGGAGCTGCGAGCTCGCACGAGACTCACCATCGACCAGTTCCCGTTACCTGATGCACAGGGACAGTGGCAGCAGGTGCTGCACAGGTGAGCGCACCACACCCGATACAGCTGTGCTGCAGTTTATAGTTAGAATCCGGCTCGAAGGACTATATGTTCTGGTGTTATGTGATCTAGTAAAAACATAACAACAAAAACTTAAGCCTGTCACCCAAGGGAGTAGACAGAAATTATGGACTTCTATTTGGCATGATCCTGACATACCTCTCTCGCCTCCTGTACATCTATATATTATAATATCTATGTAGAGATCAGCGTCAAATATTTGATACTGCGTTGCCAATCCGCTTGCCAAGCCAAGCTCAAGCCTGCTATATTATATTATACATGGTTATTTGGCAATAAACGGCCAAATTTGCAGAGAAGTTTCGGAATAAATAATATAGGCAAATGGTGTAGAATAATTAATAAAAAAATCTCAAGCATTTTGTCTTTTTTATCTTTTTAATTCTAAATGCTTGGTATAGCATTATTTTGACTGATTTTACTGCGCACGGACATATTCGTAGGAGTCGATCGGTAGGCAAAAACGTTATTGGCCATAAATCACATTGAATTTGGGATAATTTCAAATATTGGTATAGGTCTTATTTACTGTATTTACAAAAACTGCATTAACAGTATATCATTATTTATGTATTTGAACTTAAGTTTAAAATTTGGCTACTCCTAGAAAAATAACCCGGTAAGTATACTACTAGTATCCGGGTCATTACTGCCGTTAAAAAATAATTGTGGAAGTTTATTTTCAAATTTGAAAGATTTATATTGTTTAATAAGAAATGATATAAATTTAAGTTGAATGATATATAATTTTCAAATTAATTTGTCGGTGCGAATTTGTAGTATGCCTATTAACTTTGTGCAAGTGCAAGCAATAAGTTGACAAAATATTAGCACAATCTGATGAACGACATGGCAGCGCATAAAATACTAAAATACGAATAAACGAACAAACAAACACTAATTTTTATATATTAGATTTATCAGCCCGTATAGAAAAGGAAACATAGAGTAGGGCCTCGACAATGCGAACACACATAATTTACACCCTGTTCGGATTAATAAGGCGTCGGATTATAGTATGTAGATATTTTTATAATTTAACCCTTGAAATACAGATATAATATCCTAGTCTTATTTTAGTTTATTGACAACTGTAAATTTTTATACATGAAATATGTTTATCAATAAATATTATTATTATTATTTTAAAAGGTGTTTTTTGAAATGAAAAATATTTATAATTGAAAGTAAATACAAATTTTAATCAGTATGTATTGATTGTAAAAAGAATCTAGTATGGATAATATTTTGACGAGTGGTATTTAATGGCCAAAGAAAATGCTTTATCCATAAATTTACGCAATGACATTTTTTTTGAAATTGAAATACCTACTTGAGCAAGTGGTGTACTGTACTGTATATATAACATGGGTTTATCATAAAGTAATATGGCGGGTTTGAATGTTTTTTTTATAGGATAGGGTGACAAACGAGTAAACAGTTCACCTGATGGTAAGTGGTTGCTGTGGCCCATAGACATCTACATTTATCCTCGATTACGAATCAAAATGCAGATGCGTTGTCACCCGTGAGGACTAAGATGAAATGCCTCGTTTCCAGTAAAAAGGGTCTCCGGTTCGCTACACTCAACAAACGAAACACAGCAGGTATTCTGTGAGAGGGTGGTCCCTACCCGGTCGAGCTGACCCATTCGTGCTAATTAGACTACGTATGATATATCGTATGTGTTCAGGATGGTGTCATCTTACCTGGTACACCATGGCTACTGCAGCACCGCGCAGGCCTTCTCGCGCGCCACTGGACAGCACATCGACGAAGATATCGCTTCCATTAAAAACAGACAAAGTAAGTTTTTAGCATACGATTGTAAACTTTTAAAAAAGTCCCCCGGGTTTCTTGCTGGTTTTCCCCACGACAGAAGTATTTTTCGAACCAGTGGTAAATTCAACACAAGAGTGACTTTCAATATACTATTTATAATCCATATTGAATAAAAAAGTTTCTGTATCTGTTTAATTAAGGCCCTCTAAGGCTCCTACGTCATGTTTTTGGAGTAGTAAATTTTAATATATTTTTCCTATTGAATATAGTTTTTTCGAGACTACAACTCAAAAGTTATTGTAGATCGGGTTAATCTAAATAATGACATAATGCTAGGTCTTAAATTTTAATAAGTTATTAGTATATAAATTCCGCAATTTCTGTAAAAGCTTTTATAGTACTTTAATAACAGATTTATTTAACTGTCAATGTAAAATATAGGAGTTCAGCCCATTAAAGTGCATGTAACCAATAATAAAACTATAAGTAACTAGCTTGCCAGGTAGACGTTATTCTGCCCTTTTCGACGACCATTTGCCATGTCCTATTAAAAATCCTTAAATTCGCAAAAAAAATGTGGGTCACTTATGGACAAAATTGTGGGTAAAAAACTTATCCTATCTCTCAAGTTGGACCACACTGCACACGGTGTGCAAATTTGATTAAAATCGGTTTAGTAGTTTAGGAATCCGTGGCGGACAAACAACGTGACACGTAATTTACATATATTAAGATAAAGATAATAGTGGGACTTGTAGCATTAGTTGTACGATGCAAACTAATTGTTTAAAAAGGAAAGTTCAGAATGCTTAGTTATGTGGTGTACTAGTTGACAATAACCACATGGAAAAATGTTTGTTGTGTGATGCATAGTGGTCATATAGAAAGGTTTTCTTGTGTGATTCATAGTGTTTGTATGCAAATGTTTTTTGTGTAATGTATAGTGGTGGTATGCAAAGGTTTGTTGTGTGATGCATTGTGGTCGTATCTTAGAGTAATTACATACATACGTATGCATAGAGAGAACCTACAATTCTACATAAATTGAGTCATATAATTGTCCCGTTTCTTTAATTTAATTTTCAAATAATGCAAAAAGAGACAAATCTATTGAAAGGTATAGATGAAAATGTCAAGTTGTCATGTTTGGTGTCTTTATAGTATGCCAAATATGAGACTTAGTACATTCGTACCTTATGATTAGACCCCATGCCATCTCGTGTGTATCGTAAAAGGCGACAGATTGAAATAAAACAGAAGATGATAGGCAACAGTATTTTCCTGTCGTCGTATGCAAAGGTTTGTGTGATTTATAGTGTTCGTATGTTGTGAGAATTGGTGCAACGTGTGGTTGGCAGGGATATCGAAGCTGGTGCTGTCGGGGCGCATTGGGCGCGCGCTGGAGGCCACGCGGCGCGCGTACCCCGGCCTACTGGAGCGCGACCCCGACCTGCTGTTCCTGCTCAAGTGCAGGCAGTTCGTTGAGATGGTCAACGGCTCCGACTCCGAGGTGACACGCGTACACGCACACACACACGTTTGCTTCGTGGATTGGCGGTAGTGCAATATGTTTCGCACCTCTGAAACTGTTGTCCGTCATCGTTGGTTCTTTTATACTCGTATATAGCGTTTAAATGATTACAGTATCATGTGGTGGCATTATATGAGGCGACAGTGGGAACTGCTAAAAAAAAACTGCACGTCGCAAGTGAAAACTTCTTAGCTTTACAAATTTTAGACATCATTTTTGGGTTGTTAAGAAATATTTTTTATGAAGTGTTTTTTATTAGAAATTATTTTTATCAATGTACTGTTACGAGCTTAGGGTTCGTGACAACAAAAACTGCCGATAGAATTACCAAAATTTACACTTTAATTACCGAACGCCAATTAGAACTTAAAACACGCTAATAATTAATCACACTTAACACTTTAGTTCTCTTTATTTCGCTCCTAAGTATCGCCAATTCAATACTGACCCGGTCGCGGAGAAGGATCTATCTCTGATAAAACTTGCGAGTTTCTAGCTACAACGTCCCTAATGTTCATAATAATTTGCCCACCTCGGAAGCGTCCTTCGTGAAAAACCATTAAATCATCGAATAAAAATTTATGCGGCGCGTCTAAAATAAAATGCATCTTACGTTCGTCATCCTTATCACAAGCCCATTACGCCTTTGTTAAGCCCACTGTAGTTAGTGTTGTAAGAAAAGAAATTGAATCCTTAGATATTCGTTAGTAGTAGAATACAACCATAGAATACTATAATACACAATAGAATGGCTGTCAACCTTATTTTGTAGGAGAATTGGCGTCGCCGGGAGCACACATACTAGCAATTATGTCGTATTATCAGTTATCACTACTACAAACACATTTTAGACGTTTGATTAATGTTTTTGAAACATAAACATTTCTTTATTTTCGTTTCTAATATTCACAAAATACTTACTGGTTGTAGAATATGTCTTTTTTATTTAAATTCCTTTCCCGCTGTTTTTTCGACACGTAATTAATTTGTCATTTTTTTTAAATAATTTGCATGCGGTGACGCTTGACACGACAATTGGAAACGATTGATTGTGTTGACATTTATACGCGTGAATTGACATGTTAGTGGCTACACGGGCTCCACCCACTCCCCCGTTCTATTACGTATGTATTATAGTATTCTATGAATACACCGATGTGTTATGTAATGTATTAGTAATTTGCTCATAATAAGAATATTATTGTTCAATGTAAGGTTATTAATATGGTATAATATAAACCATGGCTGGGTTCTGCCACCGATAGGTATCACAGATGATGGAATAAAAAGTTCCATTCCCTGTAACAACACATCCGCAACAGAATCAACAACAACGTTGGGATCATCCAGCGGGTAGCAAATCCGTCCCCAAGGATAGGATGCAAAAAAAGATCGCATTCTGTACCATTCGGCTAACCTATAATACCAAACACGGCGGAAACTTGCAGAAGGCAACCTCGATGAGACGTGATCCAAGATGAGTGAGACAATGGTCCAAGGAGCCAAGAGGGGCATTGACTTGATATCCGTCCGGATGAGTGGTCTGCACGCCAAAGCAAAGTCATAAACAGATCGCATGATCGGTTAAACGGGAACCAAGCCATTCAGCGTGGTGGGCGTTAAAATCACCAAGTATCACAATCTCTGCGGATGGGACCAGTTATAGCACGGAGTCTATAGCCATTTGGATGTATACGATGAGTTGGTCTACGTCAGCATTACCACTATGGGCCCTATATAGGCCTATAGAGTGACCTTCAAGGCTGTCGAGGCGTCGAAAACAGATGTCCCCTCTGACGTAGATGCAAACTCCTGAGCGGGGCACAAAGGATAATTTGTACCACGGGCAGGAGAGATACGAAGTATCAGCCGGAGAAGACACCTATGTCTTGGTTAGAAAGAGCAAGGCTGGCTTCGCTGTTTCCAGATAGTTTTGGACGGCGTCAAGATTTGAATGAAGTCACCTGATATTGCAGAAATTCACGGATAGCGTGGCAGCGTGTTTGTATTATTTCTCCGTTTGCCCCCAGCAGGTTTAATCTTGAGCGGAATTTTGCCTCCCTCCCCACAGAATACGCGGGGCAGCCAGATTACCCACACTCAGGAAGAGTAGGGTAGCTTGGACTGGATGCTCAGAGAGGGATACTCTGTCACCGGGGGTACTGGTACCTGGTCCTGGTCTAGTGTTCTGTTTAATTCCACTACTATGTTAAGGGGGGGGCTGAATTGGGCTTCCGTCCACCTGCACTCACCTGACCAATTGCAGAAGCAGAGCAGAAGCTCTTTTGATTGATTTCAGAAAAGACCAGCATGAAGATTCTATTTCTGTGAGATATTAGTAGCACCCCGGTTCGAGCCGGATAATACGTGCAGCAGCAAAGGCTGTCACGTGGCTACCACTGTTAAATTAATAAAACTGTAATTATGGAGGCAGTAAATAGGTAACTTATTTTCTAGATCTACCTATAAATATAACATCTTACCTTTCGATATCCTTTGGATCATTAAAGAATCAAAAGTTGACACTCTTTTTTATTTAAGCACCTATATGCTATGCAGTACTTTTTGGATATTTGAGTGGCCATTCTTGAATAAAAATTCTAAAATAAATATCAAGTGTCTAAATATAGATAAGAGACAAATACTTTTTGTCAACGTAAGGCTCAATCGCTCGAGTGACAACCTCACTGAATTAGTACCTTGTAGGGTACCGCGTAGCGTAGGGATATTTTCATGGCTAACGTGCGGAGTGAGACAGGTCTGCTAGTAGTTCGACTGTGCTCATGGTGAGCAGTGAGCTTTCCCGCCTTGAGGTTGAGGCACAGTCTGTTTAAAAACGCTACGACAATGGTACATACCATGACAAAAATAAAAAGGAATTCTTTCTCCCCGAGATCTTATATGTCCTCTATTGATTACAGGTGTGCGGCGACGGGGAAGAGGATGAAGATGAGGAGCTGGAGGGTGTGGGGGGGAGTAGCGGGGGCGGAGGGGATGGGGAACGGCGTGGCCACCTCCGTGATAGCGCATACGGCGCACTCCGCCTGCACCAACGGACAGCCCGCGCCACACACCAACGGTACGCACTGTTCAGTCCATGAAGGTTAGAGAACAGGAGAACGATCACTACGTATCAAAGCATAGCCTGCCTGTCTTTGAAAATTGTAGAATTTACAGCGGCGCTGACGTCGGTGAGTAGTGACTGCGAAGTTAGCTGTTTATTATTTTCTCCGCGGCATTGGTGAGAAAATTTTCATACTCCGTAATTTTGTAATTTTTGACAAAAAGAAACATTAAAAAATTGAGAAATATTTTATTGTGCGTGGATGTGCAAGTGTTTTAGCATCTGATCGGAAAAATAGACTGAAAATGACTTTTATTGAGCGAACTTAGCGATCGCGGCGCCTCACTTATGGTGTCCATATTTCTGGGACACTATTTTCTACGGCGATCGTTCTCCTGTTCTCTAACCTTCATGGTTCGATCAATCAATCTTACCATTACCGTTACCGTTACCGTTACCGTTACAGTCTATCAAAAGTTCACTACACAAAACACACGCACAACATAAGGTATAGATTGCCTTATATGATGGGTATTCACAATAGTTGCCACCCTTAGCAAGCCGGTGGTTATCACAGTTTTTTTTGTATTGTTATTAAAAACCGTCACAGCCCATTTCCTGCTTTGTTTCCCTCTGTCGCCTTTTACGACACCCACGGGATCATGTGGAGTAATAAATATTATGTGTCTATGATATCCACTTGATGATATAGTGTAGTAGACACTTTTACACTGCCACTATATTGTAAATCAAAACTACAAATCTTGGTACTTTTAGTAAAGAAATGAAATGACAAACGAACTCACAATCCACCTGATGGTAAGTGGAGGACACATCTGACCAAAGATGTGTCGTCACCTCTGAGGGCTAAGATGAAATGTCCTACATTCTATAATTGATAGAGCCATGCTGTAACTATATATTTGTAGCACGAATGAGTCTTACAGAATACCAGTATAAAATAGCCGCTCAGGACTGCTATGTTTCGTATGATGAGTGTAGAGAACCGGAGACACTTTTGACTGAAACGAGACATTCCATCTTCGTCCTTAGGGGTTACAACGCGTCTGAATTTTGATTCTTAATTGGGGATAAATGTAGATGTCTAAGGGCCACAGCATTCACTTACCATCAGGTGGAAAGAGTGCTCGCTAATCACCCTTATGCTATGATGAAACAATGTACTGGTTATCTATATCCTTCAGACCGATACACAGTATTGCAACCAGTTTCGGTCAAGGCGACCAGTCTTAACGTGCACAGGACAGGATTATAGTGCCCAAGTGTGTGCGCAACCACAGGTGCACGACTGGAGATAGATCGACCGGAGGAAGAACCTACGGCTCTATGTGCTCACCGAGGCACGTGGGTGAAACACTGCCAACTTACCGCCCCCGAACTGCTATCGAGACTTATTTTGACAGCGAATTCCAATATTCGATTTTGCCCCGATCCAGGATTGGAACCCAGCACCTCATGATCAACAATCGACAAATGAGTGGCGTGGCAAAATATACATGAAACTACGTGCTTTGTACAATAATAAATAAGTTTATCAGAAACATAAAAAAACGTAGTTTTTTATGTTTTTTTATGTTATTGTTTATTTGTAAAATAAAGAATACCAGAATACTATGAATACGATTCTTGTCGACAATTACAGGTGTGACAGAATTGAACGAGGAAGCGCGCGATGGTGACGTGGATATGACGTCACCGACAAACGGCGAGCACGCAGGTACGCAGACCTATCTACACATATACTTGGTTTATTAGGTGGATAGGATATCGTAAATAATTATAGGTTGTAGGTTTGAAAGGTTTGCCCCGGAAAATCTTTACCATATTTAGAATTCTTCAAAATACTATAATTGTTGTTGATTTGATAACAAACCAATCATATAATTTGAACTTGCTATTTTCATTAGTGCCCAAAAATGCTTGCTTTTCCACTTAAATCCAAATTTGTCTTAAATATACATAAAGTATATTTTATATAAATACAAGAAAATATGAAGTCATCGTTATTCAAGTACGATTTCTATAGTAGTAATTTTATTTTAACAATTCATATTAAATATTTTAATTGACAAAGACCAATGGCCATTTTGGACTAGAAAAATCATAAATTGAGACCGAGACGTAATTAATGGATTTCATCAGTTTATTTTTAAAAGCTGGGGATGTATGGGGGAATATTTTGTTTTTAGTATACAGTCCATTTATATATCCTCGATAACGAATCGCAATGCAGAAGCGTTGTCACTCGTGAGGACTAAGATGGAATGCCTCGCTTTCCTGTAAAAAGGGTCTCCTGTTCTCTACACTCACCATCCGAAGCACAGCAACATTGAGCTGCTATTTGACGCTGGTATTCTGCGAGAGCGGTATTTTATAGCCTTTCAAAAAATGTGTTATTATTGAACGCATCCGTAATTATTTACGTTCATAAAAAATAGTATATTACTAGAGAAGTCTATAGGTGCTAAAGAGTATAATCTAATAAAAATACTCTGTGTTAAAATCACTACGTCTATCCATACTTTTTTAAAACTCTAAATCGATTTTGTTTCTTAGTCAAAATTAAATTCTAGACTACGGCAACCGTATAAACTCATGTTAATAATTGAACTAAGAAAAACCTTTCATTTTAAAATGCTTACATAATAATAATATATCAATAATATACAGACGGCGGCGACTTATCAAGTATTTTTACTTAAGTTAAGCTTTTCATACTGTATAATTTTGTAAAACACTATTTTACTTAACAATATCAACATATAAGTTCAAAAAACATATTGCATAATTACTAGATTTTTCGTGCTTTTAAAAATAAACTGAATTCCGTACTTTTTCCATCAAGGTACGTTATATTAAATTTTACTAGTCCAAGCATGTAAGGAGCGTGGCCATTGATGACATTTTTTAATTTACAGTATTGATATTCCTGTGTTGGTTGAAATCTGAAATATTATTCTTAAATGTGCCATCTTATTACTAGCTAGTTAGTGATAGTTAAAAAAAGACATACTTAAATATATATCATTAAGAACTGTGAGGAATAATATATTATCATGATATCGGTATATAATATTATTTAAAAGAATTAAATAATATAATACATAAGATTTTTAATTTTGTCGTACAAGTATTATAATAATAATTAATCTTGTAATTATGAATATTGTGTGTTATGTTAATTTTTGAATGTAAATATTTATTGTTATAATTTACAGTTATTTATTATTTGCACACCATTAATCATATACAAGATTGTTTTCAAATCATCCACATTATATTTTATTTTCATTAAACATTATTATATAATTTTATTTGCTCGTTGCTTTTTAGTTTTGCATGGAATTGTATATTATTATTTACTTTTAAAATGTCTTAGTATTTAAAAGTTTAATAATGAATATATAAACATTATATAAATATATATTTCGCTATATAAGTTATAACCTTATCACAAGCTATATATTATTAAGTTTAACTAGCTAGTCAAAGAAACCTGTAGCCCAGAATAACTGTTATTTTATAAGCCAAATACTCATGCGCTACTCAATTTTGATATGTCGTTAAGTCTTGTGGTGTCACAGTCACTTTGAATTAAAATGACAGAGACAACACGAGACTTAACGGCATATTAAAATTGAGCAGCGTTTGAGTATTTGGATATATATTACCTTATTTAAAATAAAAAAATACCAGTTTCCATTAAGTAGTGGCTTATGAAATTTTTTATATTGTTAAAATGTAGTTATTTTTTCAAATCAGAGTCTGTCATGCTAAAGTAGGAGCTATTTACTTGCATTAAAGTTTAATATCGAATAGTTAACATTTTGCAATTATGACTTTGGCTAATTTAGATCTAGTGTTAGGGTTTGCATAACTTAGTATTAATTTATATGCCTGTTTCTCATCGTTCATTCATCACTGAGCGTTCACCATTACGGCGTAACTCGCTTATTTTGATTTATTTTTAATTTCGCTTGGATCCATGGCTAAGGCATGTAATATTTGGTGCGCAAGTGGAACTATTTATATTTATTCGGTTCGCACTTGTGCTTCAAAGCTTTACTAGCTTAATTATATCATAGTGACTACCATAGAATACTATAATACACAATAGAATGGCTGTCAACCTTATTTTGTACTAAGAATAGGCGTCGCCGGGAGCACACATACAAGAAATTACGTCGTATTATCAGTTAATCACTACTATAATCCCGATTCGCTGTATTGACAGACGGATTTTAATACATATTTATTTGTAAATAGCGTGCAATTTGGCATTTTCAAAATAATTTGCATGCGAAATATGGAAATGATTGTAACGTGAAAACACGTCTCGTGTTGACATTTATACGTGTGAATTGACGTGTTAGTGGCATTTTAGTGGCTACTATTATTATGTATTATAGTATTCTGTGGTGACTATAAAATTACTGCGTATTATGTGCCGAGATGTGGCGTGTGCACGTTTCCATTGTGTATGTAACACCTCTTAAGCAAAGTTAAAACCGATGAAGAGAATAATTAATGTCCATGTCACTCTCAATGTTGTTGGTGTCAAAGTCGTTTACGTTATTTTTTTTGGTGAAATGTGCACACATCACCGGCATACGGGCATATAGCTGCCGCAGAGTTAGAGTGGTTGTGAAACGGTGGTCTCGAATCTTTAGATTTATCGTTAGCGCTACCTGTAAGGTCTTAGTAAGATCTGCAGTTGACTTTTTGAAGTGAAAGTTTCATCAGAATTGTTGCGTTTATAAACTCGAGGAAATGAAAAAGTGCCACTAAAAAGAGACAAACATATACGTCTCTATAGGATGTAGCCTTCGAGAGAATGAGATGGAATATGGTGTACAGTGTTTATTATAAATTTATTTATATTTCAATTACATAAACCGTACAATTATCCTACTCCTGACACTTTGCATTCGTCTCATTCTCATGAAGTTTAGTTTTCTGAAGGTTTCATTTCTACCGCGTGTGAACTGCACACATTTCTTTTATGTATATAATACTACACATTGAATCAAACTTATTGTACTCTAAGTAAGCAAGTGAATACTTGAATCAAGTATTCATTCAAAGATTTTATGGCGTTTAATCTACTTATTTTTTATATTCCCGATGTTTTGTATTCCATCCATTGTCTGCGACTGAGGTATTGATTTTCCAATGTCATAGTCAGTCCGAACTTCTAAAACATTGACTTTTAAATAAAAAAAATGTATTTAATGGAAAATATGATTAGGTGCTATTTACTTGGGAGCCAATAATTAGGACAATTAAGCCCAAATCCAAACACACCACTGCAAGACTTCAAGATGATGTGGGTCGGCCAACGGGGTATGACTATGGAAAATCGTACCAACCGGACTATAAGAATATAATACCAGCGTAAAAGAGCAGCTTAATGCTGCTGTGTTTTTTATGGCGGGAACCGAAGAACCGAGAGGACCGAAGAAGACCCTTTTTAGTGGAAATGAGATATTCCATCTTAGTCCTCAGAGTTGACAACACATCTGCATTTTGATTCTTAAATCGAGGTAAGATGTCTATGGGCCACAATATCCACTTATCATCAGGGGACTGTGTGCTCGCTTGTCATCCATATTCTATAAGAGATATTTTAAGTTCTGAGGGCAACCTACATCGTATGACAGGCGGATGTCTAACATCATATCTGTGACTATCGGTGTTGTAAAGTACTAGAAACGTAGGCAAGTTAAAAGAGTAAATTGAACGTAATGATTTCTGATGTTTACGCGAACACACTTAATAGGACGCGTTTTTTTTTTACGGATTTTATTATCTTATTTTATGTTCTCCCATTGTCACGGAAGGTAACCATGACGGGCCAGTGGTGCTGTAAAGTACTCGAAACGACGGAAGTATAAAAACAGTGTATAAAACGCGATAAAATCATTAAAAACTAATTTGATTCAATAATTAAACTTTACATTTACTTTAATTACATTGAATATTTTTTTAATACCGTATTTTGTACAAATGTACCTACATTATGTCATTCGAGACTACCGTTATGAAGTAGTGTACGGTGTACTGGGTGAGCTAAGTTGATGGTGAGTTGATGGTGAGCTGGTGGTGAGCTGGTGATGGGCGGCTGGTTGTAGGTCGCGAGCTGCCGCTTGTGAAGGGCATGCCCGGCGTGACTGCGAGCGTCGCCGCGCTGCTGCCGTGCCGCCAGGGTGCGTATTCGTGCCGCAATCGTGCCGCATCCGTGCTGTATCCATGCCGTGTCGCACTCCCACCGCATGACTGCCGCCCTTTTGTCTTAAATCTACTGCTAACGATTTCTGTTTTTTTCATCGAATACTTCGTTTCTCCTGTCGCTTTCTCCTCATCCACTTCAGTCTCTAAAAACATTTGAAAACGGGCCTTTCCTATTTTATTAGAGCTTCACCACAAGCGCCACGCTTTGCGGGATAATATTCGTATCACCATTGACTATATATTGGTACTGCTCCATTATTTACTTTTGTTATTTACGAGGTGCGTATATATATTGGGTTATTCGATCTATAATGTACAACTTGGTAATATATCGGCGGGGTTAGCGAAGATGACATTCTACGCTCTGAAAAACTATAAAAAGAGAACGTATAGTCGAATTAAGAATTCCTTATTATTAAATTTCCTTTTTGAAGTAGGTTAAAATTAATGAAATTAACGCAAGTGACGTGACTGTCACGTGACTTAACGTTCAAATATGTCATTATAACTCATTTTTTATAATTTCTAGAGCTTTCTATAGAAAGTAATTGGCTCGACCCGATTTGGCTTGATAAATAACAAATACGCTGTTTAACTTCGTTGTTAATTATCATAACAGCATATAAAAGTCCACTGCTGAACGTAGGCCTCCCCTATAGATTGTCCCGTAGGCGGGATTTAGCTATAGTTAATTGATAGAATCAGGCGTTACTTTGCGGAAATAAAGAAAAAGTAGTTTGCAACCTTCCGCTCAATGGAATAAAATGATGTGACTTACCTAGTTTGAAGAGCACCTCCCGCCCTTCCACAATTGCGTGCACTACTCCTAACACCACTATTCTAGGAAAGACACACCATCGAGCTAAGCTTAACGGTCAGCCGCCGTAGAGTCTACATTACCTGAAGATGCCTCGTGTAGAGGCGAAACACTTGTCGTATTGTCGTCGATTCTGTCTCTTTCGTGGAATAGTTGTGCTGGGAGTAGTGCACGCAATTAAGGGAGGGCGGGAGGTGCTCTTCAAACTAGGGAAGACACATCATTTTATTTAATTAAGCGGATGGTTGCAAAGTAAGTATTAATATCTTTATTAGCTATAGTTGCTATACTTGACAGGCACGTTGGCAACCGCAGATTATATATGGCGTAATGGATATTCTTACACCGCCACTACACGGTTAAGGGGCTACTCACACGTATCACAATCACAACCGCACCACAATTACAACCACAACACGTGGGCGGGCGCATTTTGTATTCGAAATGAATAGTACAATTTACATGTACCACATTTTGCCGTCATTATCGACTGCGTGAGTGATACCGACTACTACGTAACCACACGGAACTAGATACATAGAAAATTCTTTATTGCATTCAAACAAAAACAATTTGGTACAAAGGCGAACTTAATGCCGAAAAGGCATTCACCCCCAGCTAACCTTTTGTAGTGTGGTATGTGGTAATTATTTATTCATACTATTCAAAACGTTAAATTATATAATATTATGTATAAGTTAGTTTATACATATATACACTTATACACACACATATATATACAAACACTACTAACTAAACTAAGGAACTAGCGGCCGCTACTAGCGACCACACAACCACATCGACATTTTATCGCATAACTACAAAGCAAATGCAAAAAGCTGCAATGACACTATTCACACGTGACCACATTTTGTCGCTGCGATGTACACCACATCGTTGTGGTGTCGTGTGGGTCGATCCTTAGACCGATCTGCACTTCGATAAGTACAGTAACGTGTTAATTTGCGGACCTGGCGAGTTAAATAGAAAATCTCGTTTGAACGGCAATTAATGAGTTAAGTGTCAAGTTAACAATTAAGTTGAACGCGATAGCTGGCCGGTCTATTTTTCGGCTAGTTAATTTGAAAGAAAGAAAGAATATATTTATTTCGCCACATAGGCGCAACGCCATGTTGTACATAGTTGTTTTATTTCTAAGCTTATTTTTAAAAATAATATAGATTACATGTTACCGAATGTGACAAAAAGGGGTCGCACTCAGCATTTGGCGTCGCGAATCACAGTCTCTGTTTCGTAGACAGAGAAACCTATAGACTAATAATTAGCGTGGCCTCGAATGAGAAAAGACGATAACGTAGTTTTAGGTTACACAATAATCTTTATGACTTTTAAACATGTTTAGATAACATTTTTAATTGTTCTAAGAACTGAACTGAACAAGATTCACCAATCTTAAGCTCATGTAAAACAACTTGTAAACTCCTTAGATAGCTACGAACTGTCAAAGTTGTTTAGCAAAGTGTAGTTTGCTAAATAAAAAAACCGGCACGGAGAAAGGGACAAACAATCATACCGCTATGTCTCACTTCTACGCAAGACGTGTGCATAAATCTATCTTTTTCGTGTGCGAATGCGAAAGAAGGCGTCAATTTGTCTATAGGTTTCTCTGTCTATGCTCTATTTATTATATTTATGAACCGCTGCCGCTAATGCGTATAAGTGTTGCGTTTCCCGCCACCCGCAACTAAACTCGCCGCTCTTGTGAACGAGCGAGTTTAGTTCAGTGTATCAGTTGACAGGACGCAACGTGTTCGTGTCTAGCCTTCAAAATAGAAAATTGTGTGTTTTTTTTTTAACTAAACGCCACGAAGACATTTGAACGCTACTGCCCACTTAACCGCTTACTGTCAACAACTCTGTAACTAAACGCTTCTGTACTTGTCGAAGTGTAAATCGGCTCTTATGTTAATTAATTTACTTTCAACGCGATAAAGACATGCTGCAGCTATAATATGACTGCAATACGAATAAGTCGGCTCCAACAGGGAAGGACCACGCTATCACAGAACCAGTGTAAAATAGAAGTTTATAGCTGCTGTTTTTCGTATGGTATGTAAAGCAAACAAGAGGCCTTTTTTACTTATAACGGGGCATTCTACCTATATCTCAATAACTATGTGGTCGTAATTTCTTATCTAGTTGTATATTATTGACCGTAGATCGAAGACCGTAAAATTTTTCTTGCAACGATGAAAACGGTACCAAATGGTGTGATAAATTCACTTACATAACTAATTAGTGCTTTATTCTTTATCGAATCCCTCGCTGTTGTTTATGCTAACTTGTGTCTAAGAGAAATGCTTTAAAGACATTTTCAGTAATTGATCTACCCAAAACTGTGGCATTAACGCGTTATTAAGAGGTAAATGTTACAAGAATAATTTTTAAAAATGCTATAAGATTACCACGCGGTTCAAGTACGGTACGACATGGACGACGGCCATCAGTTTGTGTCATTAACGTCACCTGTACTTTTTGCCTACAATCACGCAATCCTACTGTTAAAAACACTCTGTCTTCATTATGTGTACTATAATTTCTTCACCTCATAGGTCTCACAAGTACTATCATTGATATCTGTTTTCATTTGACTACGATATCTTTCCATTTTTAGACTCCTTTTGATTTTAGTAAGTTTTCTATTCGATTTGGAACTATGGTAATCCGTTGCTCCGACGGTAATCGATGTTAGTGAGCTCCAAATACTTTATAATATTCTTCTTTCCTTGGGAAAGGATAACCATATAGTAATCATCATGTCGGCATTGATCGAGGTTAGGCGAAATTTTTTGTTACAAATTGAATATTAGATTATTGCCTTAATACTCAAACGCTGCTCAATTTTATGATGCAGTTATGTCTCATGCTGTCTCTATCAATTCAAGTCAAAGTGACTGTGACACCACGAGACTTAACGCCATCTTAAAATTAAGTAACCTTTGAGTATGAGTATGAGTATGTATGTACCTCCTCTTCACAATAAGTTCTGGTTATATAAAATATGTTTATAGATTTATTTTATTAATTTATATGACTACCCTCACGTCTGAGCGGCGTATTATGTCAACATTCACTCTAAACAACCTTATGTATCATTATTTGCTTATCGCTTGCAACATTAGCTATATAATAGTTTTTAATGTAAAAGGTTTCGACGTTCTTACTTAGGATTTCGTAAGTATCTATATTATTATTTTGCATTTGTTTGCACGTAAGTTTAGTAAGCACTTGGAAGTAGTTTTGTTAACTTGTTATTATTTGGTTCGGTTACTAAAATATAAAACTTTAAATGAACATGCTACAAATTTTAGTTTCTTTAATTTTGCAATATTATTTTCCATTAGCTTTTCTCTTCTTGTGAGTGCAACTAATGCGAGTTGTTGCTAGTTCATGATTAGATTTTTATAAATATATAGATTAAAGTATTGCATGTGCTTTAAATAGCGTTTGGTGTGTATATATATACGGGTGAAGTCGAAAAAATTGTACCGTTTTGTGAAAAAATAATCCAACCCACAAAACAAAGTTATTCAGATTTAAAAGATAAGTTTTTAGTGGCATAAGACGTATTATATCATGTATATAATTTTATAGAAAATTTAATGTAGATTTTGGGATTACTTGTTATTTTTCAGAAGTCTGTTATATTTGGAAATAAACTAAAAAACGTGCCGATGGATCATTTTAGCCAGTTGTTGGGTTAGATCATTTCTGCATAACATGGTCCAATTTAAATCCAAACATAATCTTATAATTATGGATATTAAATGTTGGTTCTGGAATTTTAATTAAAATGTTATATAATAACGTATATATTTCATTAGCGTATAGGTTATTGGATTAACTCTTGTACTTCCTTCACAGTTGTTAGAGTCAGATCAGAAATAAGTGAACTGATATATTGCATGTTCTAAATTATTAGATGAAACGATCGTCCGGCAGTGGACTGCCGCAGGCTGATCATGATGACGAAAGTATCTGTGCATCTGTCGCCGCTTATAAATTGCGCCTTACTCATAAAAATTTAAAGAATGCTCAAAGATGTTCTCTCTCGCCTTCTTAAAGAGACAGCTGAAAGTGACAGATATAGAGATAATTAATATTTTATTTAAGTGAGCGATGATCACCGATTTTATGTAAGGCCGTTATATTCAAATCGATCAATTTCGCCTTTCGTGATCGGGGACTGTTTTTACGCTTAGGGT